CGCCTGGCGGACATGCTGGCGCGCCAGCCCCCCCGCCGCGTGCGCTGTTCACGCCGCCCGACCTTTCGTCGAGGAGGTCCGCGTAGGCGATCACGCGGGCCATCAGGGCCGCGGCGATGCACGCCGGCGCCCCCGGCGGACCGTCGTTCACCAGCAAGGCCTTTCGGCGGGGGCACGCCGAGACCAAGAGGCGTTGCCAAGGCCGGCTGCGCGAGACTCTTGCGCAGCGCAGATTGGTCGTCGCGGGCGTTCCGAGAGTACCTCGACATGAATCGGAACGAATGCGAGGCGACCACCGAGGCGGCGTCCGCCGCGGCCGGCGGAAGCGCGCCAGGCGGCGCCGCGTTGCCCGCGAGTAAGACCGTGTGGACTGGCAACTGTCGGGGGCGCCCCGCTGCGCGCTCCGGCCTCGTCCAGTCGCCCGTTCGCGTCTGCGGCGTTCGTTGGGTGGCGCCGCGACTGGGGCGCCTGGCCGCCTGGCGTTGGGCGGTGGCATCCAGGTGCCCCTGTCGCGGCACCTTTGTTGGCGAAACCTGCGTCGCGCAGGCGATCTGCGTCGAGCAGGCAGGCCGACCGTGGAGTCGCGGCTGGCGCGCCGCACCCAATGCGGATGCGATCGCTCGCTGGGCCGGACGCCCTCTAAGGGCCGACCACATCCGATTGCGGTGGCCCGCGCAAGCGCAGATTGCGCGCGGGGGCGCGATCGGGGTGGGAGGCCCGCGTCTGCGAGCGCGCGCGGCTGTGGGCGCGCGCGCTCTCCGTCGCCTCAGGCGAGCCCAGGGTGCGATCTGCGAGAGCGGGCGCGCAGGCTCGACGCCGAGCGCCAGGCGCGAGCCGCGGCCCCGGGCGCGCCGCAGCGCCGGGAGCCGCGCGCGCCTTGCGCCCGACCGCGCGGCTGGTGGGGGCCGCAGGTGCGGCGCGCCCCGACCTTGCCTGCGCGCCGCTTCGCCGCGCGGTAGGTGTTGAAATTTTCGGCGAAGAGGCGCGACGGCGACAGCGCGCCGCGCTGGCAGGTCGGGCGGCGCTTCGCCCGCCCCCCCCGCCCAACCGGCTTATCACCTCGGTTCCGCGGGGGAGCGTTCCGTCTCAGCCGGGTGGTTGCATCCAGGTGCCCCCGTCGCGGCATCTCGGTTGGCGAGACCTGCGTCGCGCAGGCGATCTGCGTCGAGCAGGCAGGCCGACCGTGGAGTCGCGGCAGGCGCGCCGCACCCAATGCGGGTGCGATCGCTCGCTGGGCTGGGCGCCCTCTCAGGGCCGACCTCATCCAATTGTGGATGATGGGGATGATGCTGGTGCCGCTGCTGGTGCTGATGCTGATGATGGTATTGATGATGATGGTGCTGATGATGACGATTCAGATTATGCTGATGATGGAGACGCTGTACTGATGCTGATGACAAAGACGAGTACTATGTCGGTGCTATATATATGGTGGTGATGTGGTTGTTTATGATGACGATGCTGATGATGACGCTGCTGGTGCTGATGATGCTCATGATGATGACGACGAGGACGGCGACGATGATGATGTGGATGATGGTGATGATGCTGATGATGCGGATGTTACTTCTGATAATGATACAAATTATGGTGGTGGTCGTTGTGATGATGGTGCGGTTGATGATGATTTTGTTGCTTACGACGCTGCTGCTGATGATGGCGATGGGGAAGATGAGGACGATGATGCTGATGTTGTTGTTGTTGGTGTTGCGGTTGTCGTTGTTGTGGGTGATGATGGGTATGCTGCTCCTGTTGCTGTTGCTGGTGATGATGCTGTTGAAGATGATGGTGATGATGCCCACGTTGATGATGATGGTGATGGTGATGGTGATGCCGATTATGATGATGAATAAGATGATGGTTATGCTGATGATGATGCTGATGATGACGAGGATGCTGATGCTGATGCTGATGCGGCTGCTGCTGATGATGATGATGGTGCGGCTGATGATGGTGATGATGATGACGGTGCTGGTGATGATGACGATGATGCTGCTGGTGATGATGATACTGATGATGATGATCGTGATGATGCGGTTGATAATGATGATGGTGATGATGCTGATGATGGTGATGCTGATGCTACTACTGCTTATGATGAGGATGCTGATGATGATGATGGTGATATGGGTGATGATGAGGAGGACGAAGACGACGATGAGTAGGAGGCGGAAGAGGAGGATGATGAGGAGGAGGGGGAGGAGGATGAGAGGAGGAGGAGGAGGAGGGGGAGGAGGGAAGATGAGGATGAGGACGAGGACGATGTAATGCTGACGATGCTGATTGTGATCATGAGGGGAGGTTGGGGCGGCGGATGAGTAGGAGGAAATAGGAGAGTAAGGAGGGAGGAGGAGAGGAGAGGAGAGGAAGGAGGGGAGAGGAGGAGAGGGAGGAGGAGGAGGAAGAGGAGGAGAGGAGGAGGAGGAGGAGGAGGAGGAGGAGAGAGGAAGAGAGGAGGAGTAGGAGGAGGAAGAGGAGGAGGAGGAGGAGGAGGAGGGAGGAGGAGGAGAGGAGAGAGGAGGAGGAGGAGAGGAGGAGGAGGAGGAGGAGAGAGGAGGAGGAGAGGAGGAGAGAGGAGGAGGAGGAGGAGGAGCGGAGGAGGAGGAGGAGGAGGAGGAGGAGGAGGAGGAGGAGGAGGAGGAGGAGGATGGGATTAGGGAGGAGGAGGGGAGGAGGAGGAGGAGGAAGGAGGAGGAGGAGGAGGAGGAGGAGGAGGAGGAGGAAGTGGAGGAGGAGGAGGAAGAGGAGGAGGAGGAGGTGGAGGAGGAGGAGGCGGAGGCGGAGGCGGATGAGAATGGGGGAGGAGGTGAGGGAGGAGGGGGAGGATGAGGAGGAGGAGGCGGAGGAGGAGGGTGGGGGAAGAGGGGGAGGAGGAGGAGGAGGGGGAGGAGGTGCATGGGACTGAGGAGGATGGGCAGAGGTGCGCGAGCAAGGACAAAACGTATCCCCCTCGTCTCTGTCACCCTCTTGCGTCCAGTTTGTTCGAGGAGATCCGCCTGAGAGATGAGTGCACCAAGGGAGATGGGGGCTATTGGGAGATCCCGAGTGCTGTGGCCTCCTTTTTTGTTCCTTTAGACCCCTACCTCCAACACGTGAGGGGGGATGATTGCATGCTGCACCAGCTTTGAGCTCCTGTCCCTTGCCCTTTTCCCTTTCTTTCCCCCCTCTCCAGGAACGGCAGCGGACACTCTCATGCCGTCAGAGTCGAGTCGAGTCCAGGAGGACGAGGAAGAGGAACACGGCGAGGAGGACGAGGAGGACGAGGAGGCGAAGGAGGAGGTGGAGGAGGAGGCGGAGGAGGCGGAGGAGGAGGCGGATGAGGAGAAGGAGGAGGAGGAGGAGGAGGAGGAGTGGGAGGGGAAGGGGAGGGTGAGGGTGAGGGTGAGGGGGTATGTGACGGGGAGGAGGAGGAGGAGGAGGATGAGGAGGAGGAGGAGGAGGAGGAGGAGGAGGAGGAGGAGAGGCCGGTGGATTGTGGAGTCCCTGTGGGTTTCAGGCGATTTTGTACGATCTTTCACGTTGCTCCTTATCATTATTCTGGTATTTCCTCTCTCGCTTTCTCTCTCTCTCTCTCTTTCAATCTCTCCCACTTCCATTCCCATTTCATTCCCATTCCCAATACCATTACCATTACCATTCCCATCCCCATTCCCATTCCCATTCACATTACCATTACCATTGCCATTACCTTTATCTTTATCTTTACCTTTACCTTTACCATTGCCATTGCCATTACCATTACCATGGCCATTACAATAGCCATTGTCATTGCCATTGCCATTTCCATTGCCATTGCCATTGCCATTACCAGTGCCGTTGCCATTGCCATTGTATTGCCATTGCCAGTCGCCACCCCGTTACCATTACCGTTATCCCCTACCTAGGCTCTGCCTAGAAGGGTTCTTACGCTCTTAGCTTAAAGGGGCCGGGCAGTGTAAATCGCCCCGGGCGGTTCCCCCAGTCCCCGCCCCGCGGTTCCCCCAGTCCCCTGGGAGCTTTAGCCTTAGCTTTAGCTTTAGCTTAGCTTTATTACCTCTCTACCCGGTTTGGGGGGACACGGCCTAGGGGGGTTTAAGCCTCAGCCGGGAGGGCGCTCAGGCAGGAAGGGACTGCACGGATCTCAAGCCGTTTGGGCTCGGGCTCAAGAAGTTGCCAGGACGGCAGGAACAACTTGGCTCAAACATGGTGGTCTCAGACCTGCTGCAGAGAGCCGGCGACTGTGAATCCTTACACGAGCTGAAGGAATCACTGGTGGGGGTAGACGCCCATGGTGCCACCAAGTCGCGAGAGGCCCTCAAAGAGATCGAAGAGGGCGGAGAGCGTGTGTATCTGAACACCGTCAAGCGACAGTTGCAGCCATGGGTCAGAGAAGGGCGATCGTTTCTGACAGTCATCGCCTTGCTCTGGGTGGATTTGTGGCTGGAACGGCAGCTCGCGCGAGAGGAGACCGCAGGGCTAGTGCCAGCAGAGTTGGTGAGGTCTACGGAGACATTGCGGCAGCACGAGTTTCCTCTCACGAAACTTACGAGCAGGGACAAACCCTACTCCAATGGCATCGTGGCGCGAACGTACAGGCGCCACGGGCCCGCCTTCTCAATCAAAGGATTCATCCGGATGTTCCAGATACACAACGCTATGATTGAGCATGACCCAGGGCCGAAAAACTTACGCAAAACTGTCGATGCGTATCAGCAGGAGAAGCGGGGAGGAGGGCTCATGTGCCTCGTGTTGTTCGTGGGCAGCGGGCGTTCGCTCAGCCTGGCAGAGCTCATGGCCACGGGCGCGCTGGACGCAGCCATGGCCTTGCCGTGGGCCCAGACCACCGTCCATAAACTCCGGTACATTTTGCTCGACCAGGGCGGGGTGAAGTTTGCGGAGGGTTCCACCAGCGAGGTGAGACGCACCTCCGCGGCAGGCCACGTGAATTATGGGGCCCATAGTGATTGGATCCGTGTGTTGATTGACAAATTCCCAGAGCCGCACGGCGCGGGTCTGCTGAAGGACTTCATGCGCGCGTTCGACGCAATCGCCAGCATCTCCGGTCTGAACGCCTTCCGGGCGCTCCACATCACGCTGTGGTTGTTCATCGCGTATAGGGCCAAGGTGGAGATCTCGCGGTCGAGGCTTATCGACATCTGCGGGCCCAACGTGAAGAAGCTTCACGACATGTGTGCTGCTGCCGGCGTTACCTTGGAAGGCCTGTATGACGCCGTGGCCAAGCTCCTCCCGGACATCGACCCCGCGTCCTTCGAGATCTGGTCGTGCAAGGTTGTCAACTTCCTGTGCGTCCTGCATTGCCACAAGCAGAGCAGCTTGGTGTGGCGCAACAACTTGAAGGGCCCGGAGCCGCGGCGCTTGGCCGGCAAGCGGAGCCTGGACTAGCCGAGCCGCATCGCCGCGGCAGGCGGCCGCGCCACGCCGGTGACCGAGCCGCTAGTAGAGAAAACAGGAGGGGCGACCCCATCCCCCCGTGGGGGGAAACCCGCGTGGCGCCAGACCCGCGGGTTTCACTAAAACCCGCGGGTCTGGCAAAACGTAGGGTTTGCCCGCCCCTCCCCGCCGGAGGAAACCTCCAGCTGCCCCCCCCAGGACTGCGGGGCTGGCGCGGGCCGACGGGGCAACGTGAAGCGAGGCTCCCCCCGACGCCCGGCGACTGCCAGATTAGCGGGTTCCCGGGAAACCCGCAGGTCTTGTTAGTTGCGCGGGAATCCCACCCCCCGGAGCCTGGACGGTGGGTACTGCGTTGGGGTCGGTCCTACTCCGGTGGGAAGGAGGTTTACGTTGGGCCTGGTGAAGGGTCTCTCCTCCCCACATGGCAGGACTGGCTGCCTCGACGCAGTGCCAACGAGGAAAAAGTATCGTCACCGCCCTGGTCTGGGGGCTTATTACCTCTCTACCCGGTTTGGGGGGACACGGCCTAGGGGGGTCTAAGCCTCAGCCGGGAGGGCGCTCAGGCAGGAAGGGACTGCACGGATCCGTAGCCGTCTGGGCTCAAGAAGCTGCCAGGACGGCAGGAACACCCACCACCATCCCCGTGCGCCACCACGCGCGCACCGCGCCCGCGGGCTTGCGCCCCTGACCCTGCGGGGCTGGGGGTAGCAGGTACTAGCGGGTAGCGGCTGCACGCTCCCCCTGCGGGTGCCGCGCCCGCGGGCTTGCGCCCCGGCCAGCTGGGCTAGGGGTAATTAGCAGGTGCTAGCGGTCAGCGGCAGCCCGCGAGGCTCCCGCCCAGGCTTGCTGCCCAAACGCTTGTCGTGGCATACGGGCACTGGGGGGGGCCCTCCAGATGGTGGACCAGTGCCGCATCGATGTCATCATCGGCGATCACGGCGATCCGCCGGAGGTCGGCGGGCGCCCGCCGCCGCCGCCGTCGCCGCGCCCGAAGTCTGCGGTGGGCGAGTACGTCGCGCCTGGAGAGGCGCAAAATGATGTCATATTCGCATGGCTGGGTGAGCACGGTATTGCGTCCCTGCTGGCCTTCGACATCCTCGTCGACGAGTGGGCTGGGGAGCCCCCGCTTCCCAATCGCCAAAAAGGCAATTGATTTTAATGATGACGTGTTCTTATCGGCGACTTAATGGCGATATCAATGACTCTAAGAAAAGATATCAAAAGTTAATGATGCAATCATTAACTCCGATGATTCAGTGTACATTGTACACTGCGAATTTGCAGTCTACGCGCCTTGCTCTTAAAATCCCTCCTCCTCCTCCACCTCCTTCTCCTGCTCCTCCTGCTCCTCCTTCTCCTTCTCCTCCTCCTCTTCGTCGTTGTCGTCCTCGGCGTCGTCGTTGTTGTCGTCGTCGTCGTCATCCTCCTCCTGTTGCTGTTTCAGATGCTGCTGCTGCTGCTGATGATGATTTCCCTCTGCCTCCTTCTCCACCTGCTCCTGCTCTGGCTCTCGCTCGTCCCCCTCATCATCCTTCTCATGCTGCTGCCCCCCCCTCCTCCCCCTCGTCCTGCTTCTGTGCCTCCTCTTCCTCTTGCTCCTGCCCCTCCTGCTCCTGCTCCTGCTCCTGCTCCTGCTCCTCCTCCTCCTCCCCCTCCCCTTCCTCCTCCTCCTCTTCCTCCTCATCCTGTCCCTCCTCCTCTCCCTCCTCCTCTTCTTCCTCTTCCTCTCCTTCATCGTCGTCGTTTTCGTCGTCATCCGCCTACTGTAATCTCTCCTCCACCCCACTGTACGCAGCCATTTTGGCTCAAGCGAGCATGCTTGCAAAGTTTTGCTCAGTTGCAGCGCCCCCTCGGAGAGGGGGATGGAGGCAACAAGCTGCGGCAGCAGCAGCCGACATAGTATTCCCTTTATCGAACATCGCTGCAGGACACTTGCTCGATTGGGCAGATGGATTAATCAGCGCCACAAAGCTCAGGTGGCACTTACGAATGGCAGTTGCGGATGGAGTGGACCATCCAATGGTTACGAGATTGAGCAGTGTTGGCAGCGAGGAGTCAAATATAGCTAGTGACCTGGTTGCTGTGCTGGAATCGGAATGTTCTTTCGGGCAACTGATTACTACCCTAGATGATGGGGGCGTCGCGCACGCCATCAGGCCGTCATCCTGGATAGGCTTTCTTCACGACCGTTTCCCATCAAAATTTGTTGTGCGAACTGGAGCTGACGAGGCGAAGCTTGACGAATTCTGGAAACTATATCGTTCGAGCGACGCTGGCGCTAGGCGGCTTGCAGACCACCCACTACTTCGCAATTTGGGCCCACACTCTGAAGCATGGCGCAGGCTGGCCCCTTGCAATGTCCACGAGGACGCTGGTCCATTTGCGAAAAAAAGCTCGTGCAATGTGATATCATTCAGTTTCCTCCTGGGGGCAGGCGGCGATAAAGCATCGCATATTCCAGTGGCAACCTGCGTAAAAACTGATTCCAAAACTCAAGACATGACTGGTGCATGGCAGTTGTTCTTGGATGATATGGGCGATTTATTTGTCAATGGCGTGCGTGGCTGGAACTTCATCTTACTTTACGCGAAACCAGATTTAGAGGTGAAAACGGTCAGCTGGGGCGCTCCATCGCACAATGCTGGGGGCGAGCTTTGCGCAGATTGTCGCGCAAATCGCACAGCGATGCCGTATGCAGATTTAAGAGTGGATGCAAGGTGGCGGTCCTCTCTCATCACTTCGACTGTGGAATATAAGGCTCGGTTTCGCTTGCCACGCCACCCTCTCGCATGTTCGCATTATTTCGATTTGCATTTTTTCGCGAACGACCTCATGCACACCTGCGATTGCAATGGGGTGGCAGGGCATATGGCTGGCTCTGTCATGAGGCCCCTCGTTGTCAACGAAGCTCGGCTAGGCGCTAACCAAACTGCGCGCATGAAGGCCATCAACGACTTGATGAGGGATTTCTATACGCGCAATCCTGGCTCGAACAGGTGCCCCGACATCAAGGTGAACAATCTGACAGATTTGGTGGGATATTCTAATTTGAGTGGCGCTGCGTTCAAGGCTGCCAACACACGTGGGCTAGCGCCGTTCCTAGTGGAGTTGGCTGATCAGCACTACGATTCAGATTCGCAGAAGGACAGGTTCGTGCGGCGAGCGTGTGTGCACTGGAATGCTTTTTATATGATTGTGTATTCATCTGGCATGTTCATGACCACGGAGCAAAAATCAGATCTGCGCACAGCTGTCCTTCGTTGGGGTGCAGCTTACCAGTGCCTTAGGGAGTTGTCGGTTGCCGAACACAAGTTAGACTTCATGATCGTGCCGAAGACGCGCATCATGCAGCATTTCGGGTTTCCGCCAAACATAATTAACCCTCGGTATATTCAGAATTATTTAGAGGAGTCGAATATCGGCACCACTACCCAGATTTGGCAGCGGTCGGCCCGAGGTAGATATAGGAACACTGTTCAGAAAGTAGTGCTAATTAAACGGCTGGTTGGACTTTGCTTGAGATTGGAATTAGGCGTTTGAGTGCGCTGTCGAAGGCAGGTGCACACGAGACCCTTGAAACACAGAAGGCTTTGCAGGAGGAGGAGGAGGAGGAGGGGGGGGGAGGAGAAGGGGGGGAGGGGGAGGAGGAGGAGGAGAGGAGGAGGAGAGGAGGAGGAGGAGGGGAAGCATCCTCCTCCTCCTGCTCCTCCTGCTCTCCTCCTCCCCCTCCTCCTCCTCCTCCTCCTCCTCCTCCTCCTCTCCCCTCCTCCTCCTCCTCCTCCTCCTCCTCCTCCTCTTCCTCCTCCTCCTCCTCCTCCCCCTACCCCGTCCTCCTACTCCCCCTCCTCCTCCTCGACGCGATGCCCTTGTTGGCGTCGGCGAATGCGATGTGGCAGAGGCAAGCGGGGATTAGAATGAGGGGGGGGGGACATCGGCAGCAGCAGCCACAGCAGCAGTATCCCAATCGCCTTCACTATCATCATGATCACTAGCACCATCATCATCATCGTCACTATAACTGCCATCATCGTCACCATCACCATCGCCATCGTCACCCTCGTCGTCCCAATCGCCACCATCATCATCACCATCATCATCACCATCACCGTCACCCCCATCACCATCGTCATCATCATAGTCACCGCCACCGTCACCCCCGGCACCCTCATCATCGCCATCACCGTCACCCCCATCACCATTCGCAGCCAATTTGGCTCAAGCTGGCTGCAGTCGGGTTCCGGAACGTGGCCAAGGAACCGATGGCGACTTCCAAGGGTTGTGCTGGGCGGCCGTCGGTGTGTCGCTTTGATACTCAAACTCTCGCCACTGCGTGGGGCTCTTTAGCCAAGCTGAAGAAGCCTGGTTTTGATTGGGATGGGAGCTCTTATCCCAAGCAGCGTCGTGGCATGGGTATCGACCAGCGCAGCCTTGCCATGCACAAGCAGGCGCTCAGCAGCTTGATACAGGTTGCTCCATTTGGTTTCCCTGCGCATGGCCACCTACGCCAAACCTTCGAGATTCTGCGCGAGGAGCACAAGGTTTTCCAGGTCGACAATGCCCAAGTCTTTACTGCATCTTCGGGTGCTGCGGACCAGTGGAGGATCATGGCCAAGGACGTGTACCTGCTCGCGATGAATGGTGGCGCATCCGAGGAGCTCAGCCCCATCGTGGCCATGATCGAGCTCGGTGGCAAGCACGAGAAGGACCAGGAGAAGATTGACGAGCCGAAGGGGCCTCCCAATGGCGATGCCGACGAACTCGGGTTCCCAGTGTTTGCCTCGACCGATGGAGATCAAGCCTGCCAGCCGACCTGCACCTGCGACCTGTGCGTGAAGATGGAGAATATGCTCGCCGAGGGAACCATCGATGTCTCTGATGGCGAGGAGGCGCCCTTGGCTGTTCCACCAGCCAGTAAGGGCGGCCAGAAGCGCCAGTCCATGCCACCAGAGGTCGCAGCCGAGGACGAGCCGAAGAAGACGAAACGCAGACTCATGTCCAAGTCCGTCGACCAGAACCTGTATGGCAACGCAGGCATGGAGG